CATCGACCCCACACGCACCGTGTCTGTTGGCAAGGTGGGTGCAGCGCATGGGAAGAGCGAGAGGGGGATATCACGCCCTGCCATGATAGGTACTTGATACGTGTATTGCTGCTTAGGTGCTCAACCAGGAGTTTCAAGAGCCCTTCCTCGCTGTCGTTATTGACCCCACCCGCACTGTCTCCGCTGGCAAGGTGGGTATGGGCAGGGGAGGGGAAGGCAGGGCAGGGAGGAGAATGGAGGGCAAGGCGCATGGGAAAGCAGGAGACTTTGAGTCTTAAGAGCCTGTCATTTCTCTCTGTCGTCCTCGACCGTCTACGTGCACTGGTAAGCAACCAACAGATCATCGTAGAAGTCACGTCGGACTTCTTCGCAAGGGGGAACACTATGGTGTAGCGGGAGTAGTCGCCAACGACCACGAGAAAGAAACTCTCTCGCTCAGGGCCAGGGCGCAAGGCGGGCCCTTAGACGTCCAAGTGGAGAGTCTCGAAGGGCTCGGTGGCCGGACGAAGGGAGGAGGAGTGAGGGGTGGCGTGCAGCCAACCCTCAACGCAGGGACCGCAGGGTGGCGCAATCGAAGGCGGCAACGACGGCAAGACACGCGGGAGGCCTAAGACAAGACGCTGACCAGACATTGTGCGCAGGCAAAAAATGGACGGGTGCACCATCCGTTGGTGCCACAAAACAGTGGGGTGGGCAAGTGACCGGCAGGAGCACGATGCAGCGACTGGACTAGACACTGGAACCTGACCAAACACAGTTACCTAGGGAGACGCGACAACCTGGTGAGACGCGGGAACCTGACGGGGGGCAGTGACAGGGGTCGAGGGCAGTAGCTGCTGCTGCTGCTGTTGCTGCTACCCTCGGGGGCCAGTGTGAAGTGTGTAAATACCAGAGCCCAGCTCAGCGGTAAAGGTGGCGAGAGGCGCGTACGTGTCCCCGCCGACACAAACCGTAGTCTCGCCAGAAGGCTCAATCCACACACCCACGTCCTAACTCATGAGCGGCCTCACGCCCACCAAGTTCCTCGAGAAAGAAGGGACGTGGAAGCCAGTAAGAGAACCGGAGGGAACAGTCGGGCACGGAAGCGTAGTAGTGTAGCGAGCAGTGACTGGTCCCGAAGTGGGATCAGCCACTGCTACAGAGACCGGCGTAGGAAGCGGGTTAAGTGTCGTGCAGTCGCGGAAGAAACAATGCGAAGCTCCGGAGTCCAGACTGAAAGATAGCGAAGCGTCCTCCAGAGCAGCTCATGGACTAGTGTCTACACAAGTACCTACACTAGCAACATGCACCTCAGCAAGACTAGCACCTGAAGTAACAACACTCGTGTAAACAGAGTCAGAAGCACAAGAGTCAACAACAGCATACATAGCATGAGGAAGTCCTAACAGATCAACCAGCTGAGAAGCCAACATGCCCCACAGAGCGGGGACGTACGTCTCAACAAGGGGAAGCCAGTTAGAGGCAGGGTCGTCAACACCGTAGGCCAACCGAACCGTGTCAGTAAGCTGAGCAAAGCACAAACCCGGTGGGTGGCTACGGCCACAAGGCTGGCCGCGGCGGGCACCTGTCAGAACGTGATAGGTGCAGGGAGGGTGGACGACACCGCGATGCAGCTGACGCTATCCTGACCCCTGCCCCAAAGCCTGCTGCTGCCGCTGCTGCTACTGTGGCTGCTGCAAGGGGAGGGGCTGCTGCCGCTGCTGCTGTCGCTGAGTCAGGTACCACGCCACTGCTCCACCCCCTGCAGCTGGCAGACCAGTAGGTGGCTGACGAACTCGGGAGTCACCTCCACCAGCTGCAGAAGGGGAGTCACCAGCCGCTGCACGAGGCGCTCCTCCAGCCCCTACACTCCCGCCACCGCCGCTCGCCACGTCACCCCTACCGCCTCTGCCCACACCCTGACCGCCCCTCCTGCCACTGCTACCCCCGAGACCGCGAAGAAGTTGTAACAGCAGCTTCGGTCACGTCAGTAGCGGCAGTGGCGAGGGAGGCAGTAAAGGTGGGCAGCTGAGGGACAGTGCATCCGTGAAACAGTGGAGGGGGCACAGCACCATAGGCAGAGGCTACCGAGCAGAGGTTGCTCTCGACGTCCTTGAGAGCAGACTCAAGGACGCCGATAGTGAGCTCGCTAGGATGCTTCAGAAGAAGTGCGTCACGAACCGAAGAAACGCGATTAAGGAGGCTAGTGGCGATGAAATAGATAGTAATCGCCATAGGGGGAGGGAGTAGTGCAAGCTGTTCGTCAGTGCAGGCAGCGCGGTAGCTGGAATCGAGCGAGCGCAAGTGAGCAAGCAATTCATTAGAACGCTCAAACGAGGCGAGGTCAGGAAACAGGAACGGGAGGAACAGGCGACCAAGAGGGACAGTGGTGGGAGTAGCGTAGTGGGCCTTGATCGCAGTCAGGAACTCACGGGCCGAGCGAACTTGAGTGATGTGGGCCTCCTCAAACTCAGGGAGGAGGCTGCTGAGGGCGATGCAGGCCGCAGCGTCACGCGACTTCCACGCTGTGAGGTCCGCACGCTGGCGGGCATAACGATCTCTGGATGCATCGCTAGGGTCAGTGCCTGAGGGTGCAGGATCGTCGGGCGTAGGAAGATCTCCAGAAGCGTGCGCCCACAGAGACTCAACTGCCCGAACCTGGCTCTCTAAAAGGCGGCACGCACGCAGGAGCCAGACGGAGAACTCAAGCGGCCTACCCTCGGCGTCAAAGCGCATAACCCTAGGGGTCGCCATAGCGGTAGCGAAGGGGTGGGAACTGCTGTTGCTGAAACCCTAAATGTCTGAAGGGCCTGCGTAGAGCGTGACAGACAGTGTGGCGCGACAGGACAGGACGCAACTGACAGGGACGGGCGCGACAGGCGCGAACGGGCAGAGCTCACGGGGCGAGACGAATGGGCAGGGCGCACGGGGCGCGACGGACGGGCAGGGCGCGCGGGGCGCAACAGACGGGCAGGGCGCAGCGGGGGCGCCACGGACGGGCAGGGCGCACGGGGCACCACGGACGGGCAGAGCGCAGCGGGGGCGTGACGGACGGGGGACGGGACGGCAACGCGACGTGACGGGCAGGGGACGTGACGGGCAGGGGACGGGACGGCAGCGCGACGCGACGAGCAGGGGACGCAACGGGCAGGGGATGGGACGGCAGCGCGACGCGACGAGCAGGGGACGCGACGGGCAGGGGACGCGATGCGCAGGGGACGCGACGGGCAGGGGACGCGATGCGCAGGGGACGCGACGGGCAGGGGACGCGACGGGCAGGGGACTGGACGGGCAGGGGACGAGACGGGCAGAGGATGGGACGTGCAGGGGACGGGATGGGCAGAGAACGGGACGGGCAGGGGACGCGACGCGACGGGGAGTGCGAGCGCTACGGGCGATTCGTAACCGAACGGGCACGCGCTAAGGGTGCTACGGGACGAAACATGCGCAACGGGAACAGACGACTACGTGCAACGGGCGCGAGAGGCTCTAGCGGGATCCCACAGGTTGAAAGTATTTGTTTGACTAAGGTTGGTTGGGGCACATAAACCTAACCCTAACAGTTCTGCCCCCTATTACACACATCACTAAGACTACAACATTTGACAGAAACTGTAGCTTTGGTTCCTCTCCAAAAAGTTTCGAACTCGCCCAGTACATGGAACCCAACGAACTTAACGAGATTTCACATTTAAGTGTGGGGAAAATAAAACAGATCACGCTTTTCGCGATCGTAGTGCTGCCACGTGGCGATAATGAAGCAAACCGTGATTCTGCGGATTTAAGCAAAACTCTCCCTGCCCTGCCCACTGACCGAGGATTCTTGTGCGATGTGGTCGGAGAAGTGTCGCTGTCAGTGCGATCAGGCAGGGAACATTTGCGTGGGAAACACTGCGAATTTCGTGCGAGGTGTAGAATGTTCGACTGAAGAGAAGAAAGAATGGTGTACACCAATCCAAGCATACAAAACTTAAGATTAAACACAGAAACTGTAAACTATGAATGGACTGAACCTGATGCAATGCTCAAGGAATACAAAAAACTTAAGTTAATACAAGCCCCTCCACTAACCATCATCAGAACAAGCAAGACCTGACATAGCAAGACCATCTTGCAATGAAGTACACACATGTTACAGTATTGACCCGCAAGAACCTGATTGGCTAGCACTCTCCGCACGTTTCAGCGCCGCTTCAAAATCCATAGTCACAACTCCCGGTTCCACATCCTGATCGATCCGCACAAGCATGCGGTTGGGAGCGGTAACCAGGTAACGGTCCTTGAGAGCCTGCAACTCCGCAAGCACCTGCAGCATGGAGGGGCGCGCAGCGGTGCGCATGTTGGTGCAGGCGAGGGCGAGGTGGGCCAGGGCAAGGAGCAGGGCAGGCGGGGCGTCCAAGCTGGGATCTGCGAATCTTGTTGCCACTGTGTTGTCATTGCCTCCCTGCTCCACCCGTGCTGCCACCCACTGCTTCAAGTTGAACGGAGCCTCCTCCTTTCCTTCCTCCTTTTCCTCCTCGCCACCCGTTGCTTTCCTCCCCGTGACCAGCGCCAGCATCACCACCCCGAAACTGAGCACAGGAGGGACCAAGGCATGAAGAAACACAATGAAGGCAGGTTCACATGATTAAGACCACCGTAATGAAGTCGTAAGTACCGATAATTGACATTTGACAAGGGAGATGGGAAGGGGGTAAAGTCAGAAACTACAGCGCCCGCAGCTGAATGAGAACACTCGGGGCTTATTCTCACTCTGTAAAGTTTAATTCCCTGTAGGTTTAGGAACTGAAGCACCTAACCCGTCTAAAACAAAGCACCTAACCCGTCTAAAACAAAGCACCTAACAAGTACAGACGTCCCAACACGCTGCCGACACAAAGCCCTGACATGACAGCGCATCAAGATTCACTCACCCACCACAAATGAGACGGTCGAGCCAAATGCAAGGGCCCACCACTTCAACACCGTTCCTAGATGCAAATTGCAGGATCGACATGCAAGAATCGAGAAGCAAGGCTTACCTGTAGACATCGACAGCAGGAGTGGCCTTCTGCGATCGGACGTAAGCCGGGTCCATGTACCCCGGCGACCCCATCACCCGCGTTGCCATAACCGTGGTGCCCTCGCCGCACCGCACAAGGCCGAAATCAGCCACCTTGGCTTGCATGTTGGCGTCTAGGAGAATGTTGGCGGGCTTGATGTCCCGATGCACCATGTTGAATGAGTGCAGGTACTGGAGACCTGCGCCTACTCCTAGTAGGATGTTCATGCGCTCCCGCATGCTCAGTGGACGCGGGGCGGCTGGAGAGAGGAGAAGAGCGTGAGGGAGAGAAATAATCAGTTCTAGTGAAAAAACGAGGGGAGAAATTTCAACGGGTGAATGTGAATATTGAGATGGTTATCTGTCGAATAGCTCATGCCCCACGCCACACGCCATATGCCCCATGCCCCAAGCCACAACCACACGCACCTTTGTCGATCCAGCAATCAAGGTCCTTCCCAGCCATGAACTCATACACGAGGATCTGCTCTGCTCCATGCGCCGCGTGGCCGAGCCGTCTTTTGAGGCGCCTCAACCTCCATATGCCCCATGCCCCACACCACAGCCACGACACAAGCCACACACCCAAGTGCACGCACGCACCTTTCCCGATCCAGTGGTCGAGGTCGTTTCCAGCCATGAACTCGTACACGAGGATCTGCTCTGCTCCATGCGCCGCCTGGCCAACCTATCCCTTTGAGGCGCAGCAACACCCACAAGCCCCACGCCACAACAAGCCCAAACCACACGCACCTTTGCCGATCCAGTAATCAAGGTCCTTGCCAGCCATGAACTCATACACGAGGATCTGCTCCATGCGCTGCCTGGCCGAGCCGTAGCACACGCCGTACCCCAGCAGGCGCACCAGGTGCGCGTGGTGCTTCGACGCCATCGCCTCCACCTCCGTCTGAAAGTCATTCGACAGAAACTTGGCGCGCTTCACTGCCCACACCTCCCCGGTCTGTGGTTCCTCTCCCCTGTACACGTCGCCAAACGCCCCACTGCCCACCAGCTTTGATTCTGCCCAGCCGGCTGTTGCTCGCTCCAGCTGCTTCAGAGAGAACTCCTGGCACACGCCGGTCCCCTTGCTTCCCTTGCTCGTTCTCAGGCTCAAGCTCAGGCGCCCTCCTCCTCCTCCTCCTCCTCCTCCTCCTCCTCCTCCTCCTCCTCCTCCTCCTCCTCCTCCTCCTCCTCCTCCTCCTCCTCCTCCTCCTCCTCCTCCGACGACTACTTCCACCCCATCATCATCATACATCGGGGCTATAGCACCGATGGCGGCAGGGTCCGTCAGCACGAAGTCCTCCTTTTGGTTCTGCCGGCGGCGGCGCCAGCAGCAGAAGAAGATGAGCAGAGCTAGTAGCACCAGCGATGCGATGACTCCTACTGCCGCGCCTGCTATTACTGCCGGCCTGGTGCCAGTGGTGGGTGCAGCAGGTGGCGATGGTGCTGATGATGGTGGTGGTGGTAGTGGTGGTGCTGGTGCATATGGGTATGATGATGATGGTGGTGGTGGTGGTGGTGCTGTTACATCCGATGGTGGTGGTGTTATGGGATATGAGTATGTTACTGGTGGTGGTGCTGTTACATCCGATGGTGGTGGTGTTATGGGATATGAGTATGTTACTGGTGGTGGTGCTGTTACATCCGATGGTGGTGGTGTTATGGGATATGAGTATGTTACTGGTGGTGGTGGTGCTGCTGCTGCTGTTGACGATGCAAGGTGAGGGGGGCGCGGGTTGTGTAAAGCAGGCAGGGGGAAAAGTGGTATGGACAGAAGCAGGGAGGGGAGGGAGATAGAGGCACAACACAGAGGCGAGGGATCAGACAGAAGGATGTGCTATGACGTGTGCCCAGCGCAGTGATTGAGGCATGCAGGTAACGAGAAACTCTAACCAGAATGGAATCGCATAACACAGGTCTGCTCTGCCCCTCTCACCATAGCATGGCCCTGAGGTGCAGTTAGCGCCGCAGTATGCCTCTGTGCTGCCACACTCCCAGCAGCCGCCACTGGAATGGGATAGCAGGAGAACAGAGAGAGAGAGAGAGAGAGAGAGAGAGAGAGAGAGAGAGAGAGAGAGAGACAGAGAGAGAGAGAGAGAGAGAGAGGGGGGGGGGGGGGGGGGAGGGGGGGGATGAAGGGTGGGGTCGGTGGGCGGGAAGGTGGGGATGCAAGCAATCGGTGTGCCTGTTACTGCAGCATGAACAGCCACGCCGATCAGAAAACTATGCTTGAAAAGGGCAGGAGGAGGTGAGCGATAGCTTATTGCCATCACCATAACCACCAACACCATCAGCAACACCATCAGCATCAGCATCAGCAACACCATCAGCATCAGCATCAGCAACACCATCAGCATCAGCATCAGCATCACCACCACCATCACCACCACCATCACCACTACCATCTATAACACCTCGCTACCCACTGGGTCAAAACAAAGGTGTTATTTTAGGCGCGGCGGAACGCCCTTAACACAGCCCACAGGCGCTACAGCATCAGCACACTCACCTGCAGCAGAGGTTGTCCGGGCACAGCTGGTCCGGTGCACATGTGATCACTTGCGCCCGGCAGTGCAGCGGCAGGCGCGCAGCGAGCACGAGCAGGACGAGGAGGAGGAGGAGAGGGAAGGGGGCGGGGAGGCGCGCGAGGGCGAGAGGCAGAGAGCGGTGCGCGCGATTAAAGGCCGTTGCAGCCATGGCGGTGCGATTGAAAGATGATCTTTCCAGCCAGTTCTCGGCGCACTCCTTGGCGTCGCAAGACGCGGAGAGACGAGCGAGCGAGCTGCTATGTTTTCTAAGAAACTGGGATCTTGTCGAGAAAGGAGCCTCTGGGTCCGGGCTTGCGGCTTAAACGCGCGCGCAATCGGGGTTCGCGTGGGGCCTTGATGGCTTAGGAGAGGCGCGTGGTTTTGCGGGTTGGTTTTGAAAAAGGAGTGCGGTGCGATGCGGTGCGTTGCAGTTACGGAGCGACACAGCACGCACGTCGCGGCGGGGTGCGTGGTGGTAGTAGAGGAGTGTGCGCACTCCGATGACCGAGGCGTTTGCTGCTACTCGCCCGCCATTATATCAGTTATTGGAGTTTCTTGAATTTCTCGAAATTCCCGAAACACCGAAGACTCGAAGTGAAGTGAGCAGCACTCGACACTCAAAGTGGGAGAGACAGTGGCACCGACGCAATGCGCGCGGCGCACCGACGACTGACGGTTGATGATTGATGGTTGTGGGAGAAAGTTGGACCAAAGGAAAACGTATCGGACAAGGAGACGGACCAGGAGGAGGGTACCAATAATGGTGGCGGGTGGAAGAAATGAGGGACATGCTTGTTGCGGATTTACAGGAAAAGGAGGCTGGCTGGCCTTTGCTGCGACATATGTTACACCCCGCGTCGCGGTTGCGATGCGACACCATGACGGACAGTCTGCGATGGCTCTCGATGACTTGCGACGTACAGAACAGTGTGCTGATCGAATCGGCGCGCCTCGCGATTATTGAACTGGTCAGTCGGTGTCCGCGCATACAAGTGAGGAGACCTACATTATAGTACGATGGAGTGAAGCACGGGGCAAGTGAGGGAGAAAGGAGATGGGATGGGAGAGCGGCAAGGGCAAGGGCTTGCTTGGAAGGAGGGGGGAGGGTCTGAGGACGCGGTAAAAGTGCAAATTTCGCAGGATCGTCTGCACATATCGATCCCCGCAATCGATTGGGCAGATCGATTGGCGAAACGTGGCGATCGCGACGTTGTAACGATCGCCACTGAAATTTGATAGATCTCCCGCGATTTCGATCAGTCGCATTCACACACTGTCCAAAAAATTGGGCCAAAAAGCGTACTGTAGCATGACAACGTAGTAAATAGGGTAACCAATCCGCACATCGATCGCGACTGACGATCGATCGTCTACTTTACCGCGTCCTGAGCAAGAGAGGAGAGTGGTCCGAAACTACACTGTAGTGCCTTGCCGTGCAGAGGACGGGATGGCATCGAATGGGGACGGGATGGGGATGGGATGGGAGGGATTTTTTTTGGGGTTGCGTAGCAACCCCATATATTTGGTTTGACATTTTGGGGATATCATTTGAAGAGTGATATTTACGCACTTTTTGGGGCACCCGTTTGAATGTTTTGAAACTGTGTTCAAACGGATGCCTCAAATAGTGGATAAAAAACACTCTTGAATGGGATCCCCATATGTAAAACCAAATAAAGGAACGCACGTACGTATCATGTTGAACCATGAACTTGCTAGACCGTCCCAATCTCGTCGATAAATACGGCGGATCGTACGGCCGAGCATAATAGTATTCTGGCTTCAACATGAACGAATGCAATTGTACAAATGAACAACAAGATATGAGGTTGAGTGGATGCTTCGAAGTGAATGTTAAAATGCATCATGTAACAAGAGCGACGATGGGGGAGGAGCGACGGCGAGGGAGGCGACGGGCACGAAAGACGACGGTAGGGAAGGCGACAGTGGGGGACTGACGGGGAGGAGAGGCGACAGTGGGGGAGTGACGGGGAGGAGAGGCGACGGTGGGGAAGGCGACAGTGGGGGCGGCGACGGTGGGGGAGGCGAAAGTGGGGGAGGCGTGGGGGATGAGATTCGACGGGGAGGAGGCGCGACAAGGAGGAAACGCGATTGGGAGGAGGTTCGACGGGGAGTAAATGCGACCGGGAGGCGGGGTAAACGGGGAGGAAATGCGACAGGGAGGAGGCGCGACGACGAAGAAACGCGACGGGGAGGAGGCGCGACGATGAGGAAAAGTAATGGGGAGGAGGGGCGGCGGGGAGAAGATTCGAAGGTTGTACGTGGTACTAAGACAATGCAAGTCAATGGGTTAGGTACTACAGACTAGAAACTAGAAGATGAAGAAGAGCGACTGAAAGGTGAGCGACTGAAAGATGAGCGACTGAAGCAAGAAACTCGAATTTGTTTTGAGAAAAGCAACACGACGGCGATGCACTTCGGCTGGACACTTTCGGGGCTGGTCCAAAACAAAATTTCTGTTTGAACCAGTACAAAACGAAAAGCCTAGGTTCCAAGGCAAAATCATCAGACATGAAACGTCATGTGCCTACTCGAGAACGAAATAAAAATCAGGGCACTTCAAAATCGAAAACACCTCATTGAATTGAAGGGGGCGTCACGTGAAGACACACACTTGAAATTTCCAACTCAATGGCCCCGTTCTGTAGGCGTTAAATTTCCAAAAACTGGGTCTGCAGAATCTTCCCCGATAAGTGAGCTTCTGCCTATCAAGGTTTGGTGATAAGCCAAGTCTTGCCAAGCCTGTTTGCGCCAAATTTAACGTTTCTGCCTGCAGAACGGCACCATCGTGGCGCACCAATTTAACGTGGTGAAGGTTCCTAGATCGTGCATCGCCTGGCAAATGTCCGCACAACTTGTGCGCCCCCAACTCGGCCTCGAGAGCTAGCATCAGCAGGCGCACAAGTTATGCGGGGCAGAAATCACACGCCCTAAAAATACTGCACGGATAGCAACTACACCCTCAATAGAAACCCACACCAAATTTGGTTGGTTGGTCTGGTAGGGTGTCCCCTCGAGCAGGTTTTGAGGGAAGACCCAACCAGATCGTGGGCAGGGCCGAAATATGTTTGTGCAGGAAATTGAGAGATTTGGCGATGTTGAGATGGTAGGTATAGTGAGGTGCCATAGCTAGGTAAACCCTAGCTAGGCAAGAGAGAATTGAGCAAAGGAGGGTGTTCACTAGAAAGCAGCAGGATACATATAGGAAACCCTAAGGGGTTGTACTCGCTATAGAGTACCCCACTGCAGGCTAGAGAACAATAAATTTCTGACACACCCCCATAGTCAAAGTGGGGTATAATCAGCAGAGCAAGTAGTCCTAGAGCAGGTTCACATGCACAAGTAAAGCTAGAGGCAGTCGCAGAGGGCAAGTGAGGAGGAGGAACTGTGGAAGGAGAGAAGATGGGAGGCAACGACTGAAGCTGCAGAGGCACGGGCACAGGAGCGGCTGACTCAGTGGCTACCGAAGCAAGGGCGACGGACTACTGGAGTGACTGGCTCCGCGGCTATAGACGAGCGGCAGGAGCAACGGACCCACTGGCGACTGGTGCAACAGGCTCACTGGCTACCGAAGCAAGGGCGACGGACTACAGGCGCTGCAGGCGACACGACCGCTACCTCCACACAACCTCCTCCAATTGCCCCACACCCTCGACACACACCCCCTGCTGAACCCCTAACTCCACTCCCACAGCACCCCCCTTAAACCCTAAACCCTAGGCTCCCACACACCCACCCCCCTCAGCGGCAGCTGCAGCAGTGGGAGACGAGGGAGGAGGAGGAGCAAGGGGAGGAACGCACAACCGCCACCCCCACACCCGCCACCCCCAAACCCTAACGTAGGTAGGAGCGCAGGAAGCTGTAGGGACGGGTCACGGAGGGAAAGGGAGGCGGCGGGGGGTCTCCAGGGCGCCACGAAGGAGCAGGGCGCGGGCCCCCCGAGGGCGCCACGGCGGGTGACGGGAGGGGGGCCGAGCACGGGCCCACGAGGGAAGCTCGACGGACGACGGAAGGGCCGCGCGCGGGCCCCCAAGGCGCCGCGACGAGGCGACGGTTGGGGCCGGCGCGCGGGCCCCCAAGGCGCCGCGACGAGGCGACGGGAGGGGCCGGCACGCGGGCCCCCAAGGCGCCGCGACGAGGCGACGGGAGGGGCCGGCTCGCGGGCCCCCAAAGCGCCGTGACGAGGCGACGGGAGGGGCCTGCGTGCGGGCCCCCAAGGCGCCGCGACGAAACGACGGGAGGGGCCGGCTCGCGGGCCCCCAAAGCGCCGCGACGAGGCGACAGTTGGGGCCGGCCCGTGGGCCCCCAAGGCGCCGCGACGAGGCGACGGGAGGGGCCGGCGCGCGGGCCCCCAGGGCACCGCACGAAGCAGGAACCCGCCGCGCGCCTCGGGGCGCACGGCGGGCAGAAAACCGCCACGCGCCCCGAGCGCGTGGCGGGAAGAAAAATCGTAGGTCGCGCGCCACGGGGCGCGCGACACACAGTAGGGCAGCGGAAGTAGGTGGGCCCACAGGCCAGGAGCGTAACCGCTCTGATAGCATGTTGAGATAGTAGGTATAGTGAGGTGCCATAGCTAGGTAAACCCTAGCTAGGCAAGAGAGAATTGAGCAAAGGAGGGTGTTCACTAGAAAGCAGCAGGATACATATAGGAAACCCTAAGGGGTTGTACTCGCTATAGAGTACCCCACTGCAGGCTAGAGAACAATAACATTCTGACAGGGGAGACTTCATGGCAACATCCACCCAGCAAATTGAGGGATGAGACATTTCATGCGGCGTGAAGTTGCTCGGAAGGTTTATTTCCGTACATTTAATGCGGAGGCATTAACGCCTACACAACAGCGCCAATATAAAGCTGACACATTTCATGTGCATAATGAGTCAGTTGCAGAACAACTCGACTGCCAGAACCCCTCTGTAGCAAAATAACTAGTATGTATAGTGTAACATTGTTAACTTACTATTGATAAAATCATATTCTAGAATGATCACTACCCACTCGACAATCTGGAGTAGTACCTATGGTATTTTGTTGCCGATAAAGAGAAGAAAGTATTGCATGGCCTATGTAAATCTAACGTAGTACATTTTCCCATACGATAATACTAATGTTGTGTTCGGTGTTAAATTCTACGCAACCCTTACGACGTTCACGTCGAGCCTTGTTTT